ATGGGTATGCAAAGAGAGTGTGACTTAAGTATCATTAATTCATCAACCACCCACTGTGTGCCGGCATCTCTTCTAGACACTGGTACACAGGGGTGGCAGCTGACATCTATTGGCATTTACCATAAGCATTAAATCATTCAAACTTCCTTATAAAATAGGTTTTTGCTATCCCCATGATGGATTTACAGATGCCAAGAAAGGCCCAGGGTGGTTAAGCAACTTGCCTGAGGTCTCACAGCAAGTAGGTGGTAGAACAAGGATTTAAATGACTTAGTCAGGCTCCTGAAGCCAAACCCTGAGCCATCACTCTCAGCAACATTCTTGTGGGACAGGCAGCCAATGAAACAAGAGCGAGTACTTATAATGTCATTGGAGCAAAATAAATCAGTGTCAGGGGAAGGAGGGAGAATCGCTGTTTTAGAAAGAAAGGTTAGGAAAGGCCTCTCTGGGAAAGTGGCATTTGAGCTAAGGCCTAAAGGAGGTGCGAAAGGGAGCCATGAGGATGGCTGAGGAGAAGGCAAGAGGGAGTAGACAGTGTAAAGGCCGTGAGGCAGGGATATATCTGATGTGTTAGAGTCAGTAAGGAGGGCGGTGTGGCAGGAGTGGAACGAGTGAGCGGGAGAGTGGGAGGAGGCGAAGGCAGTGAGGCAATGGGAGACAGTAGGAGGTAATTGGCCGAGTGTGCAGGGACATATGGGCCACAGGGAGGATTTTACCTTTTTTGTCTCAGTGAGGTGAGAGACACAGAGGATTTTGAACCCAGGAAGGAGATGCCCTGACTCAGGTGCTCACAGGCACCCTCTGGCTGATGTGGTGGGAGGAACATACTGAGTTGAGGGGTGGGGAGGTGGAAGTTGAGAGAAGGAACTGTACTAGTCCAGGCCAGAGATGAAGATGGCTGGACCAGGTGGGGAGAGAAGCAGCCAGGTTCTGGTTGGGGAAGTCTTGGAGCAGAATCTTGGGGACCCATTTGACATATTTGCATCTGAGGCTTATCCACGTGGAGTTGTCCAGAAGACTGTCAAATGCTCCAGTCTTGGGCCAGCAATGAGCTCTGAGCCGGGGCTTGATACTGGGGAGGTCTGCCTTCAGGTTGAGAGCTTGGGAGAGCTTGAGAAGGTGTTAAGTGAGAAATGTAGGAGAGAGTCCTGAGGCCCATAAGCATATATGGCCGAAAGAAGAGGAGCCTCAATTCTGGAACATTCCCAGTTTGGAAAGGCCATGCAGCAGCAGTGGTTTTGAGGAGGGACTTCAGGAACCTCACTTACCCGTGATGGGTGGTGTCAGGGCCCCTGTCCTAGCCCAGCATTTGACCATCTCCCAGCCTCCAGCATTTCCTGGCCTGAGGCCAGTTTCTGGTCCCTGAAGCCTTTTTCCTGCTGGTAGAAGGCTGGAAGTGCAGGGAGGTAAGCCGCTTCAGGTGCAGCCCTGACCATCCTATCTAATAATAGACAAACATGGTAACTGACCGTACCTTCACTACGCCTCCCATTGGCTAATCAGCACGGTATGTAAATTAACCATCAACAAAGATGGTGGCTAATTTGCACACTGCAGGCAGGGCAGGTCAGCGCCATCCTGCCTGCCCCACCGCCATCCAGGCCTGCTATCTGCGACCCGGGGCGACAGATGGCCCGAGTGCAACCCGACCCAGGGCAGCCAGGAGGGGCAGCAGCGATCTACCGGCCCACCTGGTCACCGTCCAGGTGTCCCATGTGCAACCCGACCCGGGGCGGTGGAGTGGGACAGCGTGGCTCCTCTGTCACCCCAGCTTCCTCATCACAGCTCCCTTGGGGGCCTAAGCCTTTAGTCAGACATCCCCCAAGGGCTCCCTGGCTGCCAGAAGGATGTCTGACTGCAAGCTTAGGCCTGATTCCCGGGGAAGTGGGCCTCAGTCAACAGGTGGACATCCCCCAAGGGGCCCTGGACTGCAAATGGGTGCAGCCGGGCTGAGGGACGCCCCCCCCCCAGTGCACAAATTTTTGTGCACCAGGCCTCTAGTTGACAAATAAAGGGTTGGTGGATAAATACCCAGCTCCCTCCTCCAACGAGATGGGTCTCAGGTGCGTGCTCTCTGCCTCACAGAGATCACCAGCCGGAGTGATCCCCCCGTTACCCACAGCAGGAACTTGTTTGCATGCTGAGAAAAGGAGGAGGCTGAGCTTCACAGGCAGAGAAGGGCCCCCACAGGCAGGAGAATGCAGGGTGGGCCCTCTGGGTGTTTTCTGGGGTTACTTCCCAGAGAAATGACTTATCCTCGGATCTTGTTCTCTGCGTGTCCTTTTGGAGACCCAAATGAAGGAAATACATAGGGGAGGACAAGCCAATTCAAACTGGACTTTGCTCCTCCCCACTTTCCCACAGGGAATTTCAAAAAAGGGGTCCCCTACCGGATCACAGTGACAGCAGTCTCTCCTGGGGGCTTGTACCCTGCCCCCTCAGTCTGGACGTTCAGAGAGGAACTAGGTAAGCAATGGGGCTGGAAGATGGAGGGTCTGGAACCCTGGCAGACCTTGACCCACTGGCTTTGTCCCCAGCACCTTTAGTGGGACCAGCGCTTTGGAGACTCCAGGATGCTTCCCCAGGGACCCTCACCTTAGCGTGGGGACAGGTCCCAAGGCACCAACTTCGGGGCCATCTCACCCACTACACCTTGTGTGCGCAGAGTGGGACCAGACCTTCTGTCTGCATGAATGGTGAGCTTTTCTGCCTCCTGCCCCCTGCTCCCAGACCCCACAAGGCCCACCCATCAGTTTACCTCACCCCTTGTCCTCAGATGGGCCCCTTTGGTTCCCTCTCAGTCCCTGGGAGAACACATGATGTCATCTGTTCCCTAGTGGACAATAACCCTGGTGGCTCTCTAAGTAATGGACTGTCATTTGGCCATTAAAAATAAAGACTCCAATCTATATTTATTGATATTGAAAGATGCCTGTCATATTTTATTAAGTGAAAAAGATAAAAGGATTCAAAACTCTGGGATGGTTCCATTTTTGTAAAATAAACCAGCATTGAGCGAAGCTGAGGCAGAAATGTGAAGATAAATTTCCCTCAGTGCCAACAGGATTGTAGGATTACATATGATTTTCATTTCTTTTTCATACTTTTGGGTATAGGCTAAATTTTTACTCTGTGCACAAATTCCTTCTTAAAAATATATTACCCTTTTTTTCTAATTACAAAAACTATCTGTGCTTGTTACAAAAGCTGACACACATCATCAAGAATATCAGCATTTCATCATTTCACTGATACTGACAACACAGCTTCCAGGTTTTTTTATGTGTATGTTAACATACATAGGAGTTGGTGTCTTGAAGATGTTTACCATTTTATTATAGAAAATTTCAAGCACATACAAAAGTAGGGAAAAGATAACAAATCCTCGTGTATCCACTGCCCAGCTTTAGTAATTACCTCCATTTTGCCAATCTTGTTTCAATTTACAATCCCTCCCACCCACACACACTCTTTTTTTCCTAGAGTCTTTGGTATCATTTCACCCCTAAACACATTAATACTGCACATTTGTTCCTAATTGATAATGCCTATTTTTTTAACATAATTACTTTGCCACAATTGTATCTTGCAAACAGATATAGATATAGATATAGATATGTAGATCATTAGGTTAAAAGTTATATATATATTATTAAATATATGTACATGTATATTGTCATTATTATTAAAAGAGGACCATGTTATAGGCTACTAGAGGCCCAGTGCATGAAATTTGTGCATGGGTAGGGTCCCTAGGCCTGGCCAGCAATCAGGGCCGATCTGTGGGGTGACTGGTGGGGCAATCAGGGGGCCCCACACTGGCATCCACCTTAGCTGGTCTGACACCACCTGTTTGCCAGCCCCGCCCCCCACTGCCACTGCTGGTTGCCTCCCTCTGTGGGGTAACTGGCCGGGCGATTGGGGGCCCCCCGCTGGCACCTGCCTTGGCTGGCCTGGGGCCTACGGGCTAGGGGCAGCTCCTGCTTTGAGCATCTGTCCCCTGGTGGTCAGTGTGCATCATAGCGACCAGTCATTCCACTGTTCAGTTGATTTGCGTATTAGGCTTTTATTATATAGGACTAGAGGCCCGGTGCACGAAATTTGTGCACAGAGTGTAGAGGTCCCTCAGCCTGCCCTGCACCCTTTCCAATCCGGGACCCCTCGAGGGATGTCTGATTGCCTGCCTGCCTGATCACCCTTAACCACTCTGCCTGCCTGATGGCCCCTAACTGCTCTCCCCTGCTGGCCTTATCACCCCTAACTGCCTCTGCCTCGGCCCCCGCCACCATGGCTTTGTCCAGAAGGACTCCCAGAAGATGTCTGGTCTTATTAGCATATTACCCTTTCATTAGTATAGATAGTTTGGCCCATGAATCTTATGACTGTGATGTTTTGCAACTTTCTTTTTTTCACCTGATGACTTTGTTTGGACATCTTTCTTTGGCAGTATATCTTGATCCCTGTTCATGTCTCCTATAATTCTATAACAAACCAAAAAACTACTTCCCCTTTTGGCTTAAAAACAAAAAAAGAGCAATTCAGTAAAAAAGTAAACAGAAATAGCTTAGGGAGGTCCAAATGTCTACCCTGGGTCTAAGGAGACTTCCTCCACTGGGTTCTGTGTAGGTAAGGGATATGATACTCATTTATTCTTTTGTTTATTCAAATCTATATTATTTTCTTTTTTTTAAATATTTTATTGATTTTTTACAGAGAGGAAGGGAGAGGGATAGAGAGTTAGAAACATCGATGAGAGAGAAACATCGATCAGCTTCCTCCTGCACACTCCCCACTGGGGACGTGCCCGCAACCAAGATACATGCCCTTGACTGGAATCAAACCTGGGACCCTTGAGTCCGCAGGCCGACACTCTATCCACTGAGCTAAACCAGTCAGGGCCTATATTATTTTCTTGGTGCTTGCTATCTGTCAGGCTGATCCATGTACTGGGATTATGGCTCTTGTGGGACTCTAACTTTCTAATGGAGGACACACAAACATAGACAAAGTAAATAGTATCTAACCAGTGTGTCAGATGGTGAGAAGTGCTGGGTACAGTAAGAAGCAGGGACGATGGGTTGTGAAGGAGGTGCAATTTTACATGTGATGGCGTGAGGGAAGGCCTCCCTGAGGAGGCAACGTTTGTGCAAAGACCTGAAGGTGGGAGCTGTGTTGTGGGGGAGAATGTTGCAGGAGGAAAAGCACATACAAAGGTCCGGAGGTAGGACCTGACTGCCTTCCCACCCTTTCTGGGTTTGTCCTTCAGTGAGTGGCAGCACCCAGAAAATCACCCTGCCGGACCTTCCCTCGGGGCCCTGTGAGCTGTGGATGATGGTATCCACCATCGCAGGACAGGGCCCACCTGGCCCCAGCCTCCGGCTTCACCTACCAGGTAGGGGCTGGGGTGGCACTGCTGTAGTAGGGGGCCTGCTTCATTTGAAGGGAATATGGAATGATTCTCTGGGCTTTCATGACTGGGCAACCTTTTGACTTGGTGGCGGGGGGCGGGTCGCTATTGATGGTGCATTTTGATTCTGCTAAATACTGCTGTGGGTTATCAGGCAATGTGTATCTCTGACCATGTCACCCACCCCTCAACTTGACCTCTGACCGATTATTGCTCTGTTCACAAGCCCACTCCCACCCCAAGATTTTCCTCACCCCTTGCCCCTGCTCATTTTCTGCCTCCCTCACGCAAGCCTGGCACATCAATGAGCCTTAACTGACCCCTCCCTGCTCCTGGTGCCTAACTGTTCTTCTGCCCCTCTCCCCAGATAACACCGTAAAGTTGAAAGTTCTGCCAGGTGTCCTTTTCCTGTGGGGCTTGCTCCTGATGGGCTGTGGCGTGAGCCTAGCCAACTCTGGAAGGTGAGGCAGTCAGACATGTGGGTCTCTGCCCAGTAGGAAGGGAAGCTGGGCAATAGCTGAACTTCCAGGGTGAGGGGACACCCCACATTCCTAGACCCTGCCACCTGGGCATGGGTATTCTCTGGATTCCCTTCCCTGACTCTTACCTGCTTGCCAGGTGCCTCCACCTGTGGCACAAGATACTCCCCCGTTGGGTCTGGGAGGACATCCCCGATCCTGCCAACAGCAATTCCAGCCGGCCCCACGTAGAGGTGAGCGAAAAAGACTGGCTTGTCAGGAATCTCCGGGAGGTTGGGAGATGCTGGGACGGTGGGGAGTGGGTGGGAGCACTGAGGGAAAATGGGGCTCATAATCTCAGCCTCCCCTCTTGCCAGGAGGTACCCCAGGCCCCACCCCCTGGGGACTTGCCCACCCTGGAAGTGGAAGAGATGAAGCCGCTACCAGTTATAGAGTCCCCCCAGGCCTCCTCCCAGCTTGATTCTGGGTATGAGAAACACTTCCTGCCCACACCTGAGGAGCTGGGCCTTCTGGGTTCACGGTGCCCAGGCCCCAGGTTCTGGCCTGAAATGACCCCAAGCCAGGAGACGGGGTGCTCCTTTGAGAGCTGAAGACACTGAGGCTCAGAGATGCTGAGCCACTTGCCTAAGGATACCCAGGCAGAAAGAGCTGAGTGAGACCGAAGGACTCCTACAGAGAAGGCCTGGCCCTAGAGGGAATGTACGGATGGCTGAGGGAACAAAGGAGAATGTACGAAATCCAAGAGTGGCAGCCACCTCCCCAAATCTGTCCAGCTGCTGTAACAGAACTGTAGCCAAGTGCACTTGCAGCCTCCCTTGCTGCTAGGTGTGGCCACGCACGGAGTTCTCACCCTTGGAATGTGAGCAGAAATGACTTGTGCCAAAGCTGGGACTGGATGGAGCTCCTCCATATTCTCTTTCCTTTTCCATGAGCTGGAAAAACATCAACATGCCCATAATTTAGCTTCAGCCAGACCCAAGAGAAAGGTGAGGACAAGAAAATGAAAGGAACTTGAGTCCCCAAGTGACTGCATGGATCAGAAATAAACTTACATTTTTATAGTTACTGTAGCTTGAGGTCTTTTGTCACAGCAGCTGCACCTATACATTCACTGACTCATAATCTTTTGCTTCTAGCCAAACGAAGCCCTCAGTTTCCCACCAGGAGATGATAAGGTGGTTCTGTGCCAAAAACACACACATTCGAGCTGTCCCAATGCTTTAATATTTTATTTTCAAGTATAAAGGTTTAGTTGGAGAAGGGAGCCAGGGTCACAGGCAGTGTGGGCAAGGGGTCCAGAAGCCCAGGTGGAGGTGGAGGTGTGGGCCAGCAGGCTCCCAGATGCCATGGCCAGTCCCATATGCCCTGTCTGTGCCTGGGAAACCCTCTGCTGGATGCCAAGAGGCCGAGGTAGCTGTGAGAAGAGCGAGGCGTGGGGTGGAGGGCATGGACTCACATCACCGCACAACACTGGCACGTCTTTTGCTTCGGGCCACTTGCCTCTTCACCCTCGGGCGGAGCAGAGGGCTCGGGCTGCTGGGCAGGTGCATAGGTGGGCACGGGGTGGGCACTGGGGTTGGCCTTCGGCTCCTCCACCAGAAGCAGTGGCTGGCACTCGGTGGGCTGCTCGGTGGGCTGCTCGGGAGCTGGGGTCTCTGCCAGGAGGGGTGTGGCATCCCCTGAGGGGTCCTGGCCCTCAGCAGGGGTTTGAGGCTTCACTGCTTCCTCCTCCGGCGGGCCTTCCTGTTTCTCCTGGGACTGCTGTGGTCCTTCCTCCTCCGGCCTTAGCTCTTCCTTGGCCCCCAGGGCAGCCCCTGCCTCACTCACCTCCTCTGCCTGACAGTCTTCTCCAATTCCAGGCTTTCTCTGCTCCTCTGGACTCACATCTTCCTTGACCTCTTGGCTCTTCTCTGCCTCCAGTGGCTCCTCACCTCCTGTTCTCTCTGCCTTCGGTGATTCCTCATCTCCTTTTTTCTCTTCATCCCGTGACTCCTCACCTCCTGTTCTTTCTACTGTTAGTGACCCCTCACCCTCCGTCCTCTCTGTCGTCAATGGTTCTTCAGTCGCCTCTAGCTTTCCTTCATCCCCCTTCTTCTCTACAACCTGTGCTTCCTCAACGCCCTTCTCCTCCGCCCCGAGCGTTTCCTCACCTCCTTCCTCCTCAGGCCTCAGTGACCCCTCAGCTGCCTTGCTTTCTACTCCCAGTGGTTCCGCAACTTCCTTCTCTGCCTCCAGCTTTTCCTCACCTCCACGCTGCTCTGTT